AATGTTGAGATAATATTTTACTAAACTAGGTGTTATCTTGCGGAAGTCAACATAACATAACACTGGTTATTTGATTTTAATTATTTGGTTTAATTCTGCTACCATTAGTATGTGTGTGAGTGCCAACACTCGAAGATTGACCACCATTATTACTATCAGATGTTCCACAACCTTCCACATTAGCCATCAATCTCATCTGAGATAATATTCGTAAGCATATTTTTCCGCCAAAAAAATTAAAAAATAGGTAGATAGATAGATACTCTTTATTGTTTCCTCCAAAAGATTACAATAGTAAACTTATTATAAATATAAACAATTACAAAGTAAATATATATTTTCCAGAAAGTCGAAAGCAGTTCGTATCGATCAGTTGCCAATAGTCTTTTAGTTAATTCTTTACTGGATTTTTTTTTTACTTTAATGAAATTATTCGATGCTGTTTGTATCAATAATGTAATATGAAAATATTTATTACATATCAACTAGAAATATTATATTATACTACTTTTTTTTATGGGTGAAAATGGTATGGTAACCCCGCCTGCGCTAACGGGATACGCTGGCGGAGCACCAGTGAAGGGTGATAGATGAGAATGAAAACAGGTCAGTTAGCTCATCATGATGAATTCATCAGGAATTAACTATGATAGTTTCCAGGAGGAACCGCGAGGAGGTCGACCTGGTTGGGTATATTGCTAGCAATAGGATTCTCAGTCTCCATTACTAACAATCCCTTTTCCCCTATATTATACTATTATTATATTATTCCCAAAGATGGTTGACGCAGGCAGGCGGTCGGTCGTAAAACTATAAGCCAAATCTTTTCGTAATATGGCTAAAAAACATATTACGCCGATCCCAAATAAATTGTGATGAGGGTACGAAGATGATGATTAATTATAAATAATTTAAATGTACTTAACTAGCTATATTAAAGAAATAAGAGGTTATAAAAGGTTATTACAAAAATAACGAGACCCTGACTTTAATGCACTTACTTTTTGATCGAACGGATCTTGCGTATCCTTTGCTTGAAGGTCAGGTGCTTGTGTAAATAATTTTTATTTATATTTAAAATATTATTAAGGTTTTATATAGGCATTTAAATAAATTGCATTGACATAATATCCGTTGCAAAAAGTTTACTACATTACTATGCTGTGTTTCGGTTTGAAGGGTGGGACATGGCGTGAATTTACTGGGTACAGAGGAATAACACCCGAGTCCTCAGGAATGACAACGCGTGGGGGTATTATGGGCGAAACAGTATACTCTGTTATGTCCATGGTACTGCTCATGTCTATAAGCGACGGTTACCACTTTCCATCAGGTGGGCCGTCAGATTGTTTGCCATTCTAAGTAGTATAAAAAAATTTCTAAGGACTATGGTAGTTTTTTTAATGAATGATAATGAAATAGTAACCCTGCCTGCGTTAACGGTTAACACTGGCGGGGCACCAGTGAGGGATGATAGGTGAGAACGAAAAGGCAGGTCAGTTAGCCCATTCGTCTGGAATTTAGCACGACGGTTTTCAGAGAGGACTATGGGATGTCGACCTGACTAGTAATGTGACTGGTAGTCTAAATTACCAACAATCCCCCCAAAAATACGGTGTTATGTTTATATAGACTGTAATTTTAAGGCAATATCCCACCCTACAAACCTAAAGGCTGCCATGCAAAACACAACTGCTTCTTGGCAGAAACACGAGTGTGACAACAATACTCAAGCAGAAGATTTTTGTACAAATTTTCTATTTAGGTACATTGTATTTAATCAAACAATTGTTAAATTATTTTTGGACGTAAAGAGAGACGAAATAAAAGGTCAACCACCAGCAGCAATATATTATCATTACAACAGCGATGGAGTACTCACATGCCCGCTATATGCACGAACCTTTATTAAAAAGATTGGCTATGTATGCCACATCCGAGTACAGCGTAAACAACAGCCCCCTAAGCAGTCAATTAACCGTTTTTTGCATGATTTTTTTATTGGTGAAATAAATCAAGGTGATATAATTCATGATCAAAATTAAAGAAAAAATGATAAAAAAAAAATTGACAGCTACGTTTTGCTTTTTGCAATGGACAGTAAAAAGGTATCCAGACACGATCAACTTAATGTGAACTTGGTCTTTTATATAATTTCCACCATTATGCAAAGACCAAAAATGATCAGAATTCATCATCTTCATCATTTTTAATCAATTACCACATGGAACATAAAATAGATAAATTATAAAAAGAAACTTAGTTTTTTGTCAACAATGGATCGCCATTATGTAAAAAAACTCGTCTCTTGATGGATGGGATCATGGGCGAAATAAGTTGATAATATTCAAAAGGTCGTTGACTTTATTAGCCAATAGCTGGAAGACGTGCATAGATAAATAATTATTATGTACGTTTAACAGTAAAAAATGCCATAATGTGTATGTGACTAATACGTGCCTAGTATATTGAAATTTACAATGAAATTATTAGCATGAATTTCTGTAATTTTTTTTATTTTATTTTTTATTAAATTATATACACACTTAGTAACAGAATATTATTATATTGTATTATTATTTGTTTATTTGTAAAACAAATTTTTCAATAGATTTAAAAAAGAAGGAGGTTCTCAAATCGATTGTATTTTTTTTTATGATTACCTCATAACTCCGTTAGTTCTAAACTGCTATGGAATTTTTTTTATCTGAAAGGATATACTTACAGATTTTTCTCAATTATTATAAAGTATTTTATAAAGTATTATTATACATATATATAGTACAATTATAAAGTATTTTTCTCAATTCATAGCCTGCTATGAATTGAGAAAAATAACAATATATATTGGACACAGTTTATGTAGAAAGTATGCAAGCAGGTTGTATCTAAATTTGGTAGGGTTATACGGCCATATAACATTTTCTATACACTAGCCTGCAATGAATTGTCAATTTTATCACTCTTATGTAATTCCTTGTTTTTAGGGTGGCCTATTCTATACCGGGACCACGCGGCAATAAAATGGTTTGTACATCACTTTATGAGATGACTAAGATAATATTGATGATTCATGACTGTAATGTGACAGTCATCATAAGAATGTAGGTACTATCATGGCTTGACAATGAGAAGGCGTCGGTAGTGTAGCTTAGAATTCTAATGTAAATGTTACATAGAAATGACTCAATACAAATATATTATCTAATAAATACTATATATGTGTGTGTGTGTGTGTGTGTGTGTATAAATACATACATACATAATACATACTTGTACAATTGTATCGATACATTTATTATTTGTCTTGCTTATTCCCTATTTTTTTTGATGAGTGAAAATGGAATGGTAACCCTGCCTGCGCTAATGGGATACGCTGGCGGAGCACCAGTGAAGGGTGATAGATGAGAATGAAAACAGGCCAGTTGGCCCATCATGATGAATTCATCAGGAATTAACCATGATAGTTTCCAGGGGGAACCGCGAGGAGGTCGACCTGGTTGGGTATATTGCTAGCAATGGGATTCTCAGTCTCCATTACTAACAATCCCTTTCCCCCCAATATTTCCTATTTTATATAATGCAAATAAAGTATACTTATTTATTCATTACTATTTACTTAATAGGTATATAAATAGGTTCTTTATGGTATAGATGAGTAAAGTAAAATTGTGTTCACATTTATAATAAAATTGTAAGTTTTGATAATAATATTATTATTTTTTAGAGAAATTAATATATAAAGTAAATAATGCGAAATCCAGATATAATCTTTATCAGTTTCTTCTAGGAAGGTCAACGATCCGTATTCTATGACGTCATTCGCGCAAAATATCGTTCAAACGACTGGGTAACATAATAGTTGTATAAAATAATTCAAACATTAATATTTCGTTTCTGGAAAACTGGTGGTCATGTAACTACATGACAAACTAACTTTTTTTTGTGCAACTTAGAATGCCAAGATAGTAAGATAATAATTTACAAGAACTGTTTTAGATTCAGTAAAAACTTACCGGTTTTGAAAATAATGCTTTAATAGCTGTCACAAGATGTCAACACGGCCTCAAAGGCCCCCGTTAAATCAACCCTTTGTATGCAGATGTGATGACAGGGTCACAATGATACTTTATGATACACGCTTGTTATAAACGCCTACTGGTGTTTTGAAAAAAGTACATGCATGTTTTTTCATCAGCTTTAGAGTTGTCTCTGGTAGTTTGGTAGTCTTTTTTTTTTTTTCTTTTAATTTGGTGGTGCTGCTAGTTTTTTATAATGGCAATGGCCTTAAAATGTTTTACGTTTTATAATATCCATATATATAATGAATGTAAATCATTTAATAGGTTGTTGATATTATGTTATATATATATATATATATTAAATACTAGTTTTTAGCCCGGTGATTTGTGCGCATTGATTTTAAGTAGTAGGAAAATCAATGAAATAGACTACTTCTAGATGGTGTATAAAGATGAGACATATAACAGATTTTAAGTTTCATTTTTACGGATACAACTGTAAAAACCCCACACAATTTGGTGCAGTAGTTTTTGCGTGATGCCGGAACAAACATACAGATAGATAGACAGACAGAAAGACAAATACAGACAAAATTTCTAAGAATTTTTGTTTTGGTATTTATTGATCTAATAATATTAATATGCCTCTCATTTATTTTTTTTCTTATAGTACCTACGAGCTCTGTTTAGTTTGGTTTTAAACCTAGGTGTGTAATAATCCAGTGGAATTTATTATCATTATTGATTTATGCTCGTGTCATAACCATTTACATTAATTAGGTTGTTGATGGGAATTAGAAAAATATCCCGCTTGAAGGATTTAACACTTTGAGCTGGATATTTTTTTATCTAATTTATGTAATTTAGGTTTAACTAACCTTGTTTTATTCAACCAATTGCTATTAATTTAGATTTAAAATAGAATTATTTGAATTGTTACTGAACGATTTCCTAAAAGATATCTATTGCTTGTTACAGTAAACAGACGACAATGTGACGAGCCGTCCACACTGACACGTGATTGTCCGCCATCTTGACTGATCATAGACAAGTTGTATTACCAGGTGAGTTCTACCCATAGATATAGTAGATATATTCAAAGTTCCATCATTATTTAAAGTAATAAATTATATTACATTGTAGTTTTATGGTTAATAATAACAGTTTGTTAATTAAATAGGTTATTAAAAGGTTTACATGCTTGAATAATTAAAATGACATCATCGATGTGTGTTAGTTTCAAATCTTTATGTTAACCATTAGTGTAGCGATATACTAATATCAAAACTAATGTTCTAAAAAGTAAAGAATTGATATTTTTGTTTATTATTACATAAATTTAAAATTTATTATAAATTTATGTACCCTTGAGGCCAAACAAGCATACGGCTCACCCGATATAAATATTATATTTTATTATATAATATTTATATTTATTTATTTAACAATAACAATAGGTTAATTTATAACACGGGAATCACGTGGAGATCAACCTACTAGGGTACATTGCCAGCAATGGGACTGGTAGTCCCCATTACTGACACTCCTTTCCCCTCCCGCAATGGAGCTGCTAGACTTCATAAGTAACAATCCCATTCCCCACAACATTGTCAGGTTAACTCAGTCAGGATAATGTTTGGTAGCATTTTAAATATTTTTTTTTTAGTGTATTTTCTATTTTTAAATAAAGGCAAAAACTTTAACAATAAGGCTGCAAGGCCAGTAGCTACCTATAGAGTTATTTCTTATAAACACTTATATATGAGTACCTGGAATTTATAATACAAAATGTACACTAGATTCATTCGGAACTGCTTCGTCATTGAGCGACATTCATGTTGCTTTTCAATTATAAAACCTATTTGGGAAGCAGCACGGTTCAAAAAATAAGACAAAGATATATTTTAGATTAAAATTATGTTACGTATTTTATTGTATGAAGAAAATTACAATACACAGTAGCATTGAAGAGTAATTTATTCTTGTATAATATTTTAAACATGAAAAGGCTTATATTTTTAATTTTACACATATAACAATATTGAAAAATTATCCAAATTCTTCCACGCCCATTTAATTTCATCTTTATTATCATAGCAGCCGTTATCTGTTTAGTGCTGAACATAGGCTTCTCCCCCATAGACTAAACGGTCCTGAACTACTTACATTTACTGACTTCCTACAATTCATTTGAGGTCGTCTCTTCATCTAGTGAAGAATAAACAAGCTGAAGTGGCAACGGGTTGGTTACATAGTTCAAAGAACCGACAACCAATGGGGAATAAAGGTTCTTGAGTGGCAACACTGTACAGGTAAATGCAGTGTGAAACAATCCTCTACTAAATGGAGTGACGAGCAATTTATTTCACTACAAAAATTTTTCCAACTATTTTAAATTTATTTCTCCGAAATTTCGCGAACACAGAAATCTTTAGCTAAAACTGCGAAATAAGTACCTAATTTGGCGACGTCGTTTCTAGTTCCTTATTTAGTCTTTTAGTTTGTAAATGCTTACATTGTGCTGTACAGATAATAATCTGGATATGCACAGAGACTACAAAAAAGACAGAACTATTAACGGATATAGCCATACTTGTTTTATTCGTCGAGATGCTGTTAATTCCAATGTATAGAATTAACGGACGTCGATAGTTAGCTGATTGGCTAACTGTATGTATGTATATATGCTTAATTGCTCTTAAATTAACTAGAAATGTAGGAGTTGAGATGCCAGTTCTTAAATGGAAATAACTTGTGTCCTTTTCTGTTGATTGGACGTAAGTTTTTTTTTTTAAAACATAAAGTGTCTTAATTCTTTTTTTTTTATCAGAGCAGTGTTATGTCATTATTTTATTTAGTCTGGGTTGTTTCTTTTCTTTCTGATTCTGTAAAATTCTTGCCATATTTGCTTTATTCAAAATTATCTAAATTAAAATAATAAATATAGCTTATTTTAAACTTTTGCGTTGTTTACACGTATTTAAATACTTAGAATGATGAAAAATTTTGCGGGTGTAAATAGTACCTACCTAGCTTCTTTATTGCCGATGTTTAGTATTAATTACCTGCAAAATAAAATGGCGGAAAAAAGGTCATCAGCCTTTTTCACATAGTCCATGCCAGTTTGATATCTATGGTACATTCGCTTAGATCCGGTGCCTCATTTTAATATCATATATTGGATAATCCAGTTATTCAACTAATATATATATCTATGTAATGATATTTAATAGCTTATAAATTTTCTCAAGAAGTGATCTATCAAATGCAAAAAAAAAAAAACAAATCTGACTGGTAGTAGAGATTAGCGCGTTCAAACAAACCACCACTTCCATGGACTGCCATAAGGAACAAGCTTGAGTCACCTGTATCCACTGACTCCTTGCAATGCATTTGAGGTCGTCACTCCATCTAGTGCGGGGTCGTATTACACTGCGTTTACCCGTACGGTGTTGCCACTCAAGAATCTTTTTTCCCCATCGGTTGTCGGTTCCTTAAGCTATATGACCAGCCCATTGCCACTTCAGCTTGCTTATCCTTCTTTATATATTAAGATGGATAGGAGACATTTAGACATGTACAAATTGACATATTCATGAATGTAAATGTCTATATTTCGTAGGAATCAAACCTACAACCGTTCGGAAGTAAGGCAGTGGGTTGAGCTGGTACCCACCAATAAAGGGCTTGGAATCCTAGTTGATACGCGCATTAAGATATAAAGATAATGAACAAAAACATTACCACAGAAGTAAGGACATAAATTAAACGTCTTACGCCTGTTAATTGCAAATTAAAATGAGTATGCTGATTATATCTGTGTATTTGTCTAGAACGACTGTAACAGGAGTCAAACTAGTTTGAACCAGTTCTGCTGCGCCCATTTGTTGCTTAATATGCACACAGACATTTATAATATTACTAGTTGTCCAACTGACTTCAATAAAGAGAAGGTTTTTGCGATTCGGTTGCATTTTTTTATATTTGTCACCTCATAGCTCCATTATTTATTAATCGATTTGAAAAATTCTGTTTTTTTTTTTTTATCTTAACGGACTTAAATAGAGATCGGTGTCATTATTTTCTTGTTCTCAGTAATTAGATTGCTACATTGATTAGGGCCTACCATGACGTCTATTCCGAAATTTCGGTGCCGAACGAAATAAATATTTGATGTTAAAGCTACATAATACATTTTTTTTTTTTTTTTTTTTTTTTTTTAATCTACGTTTAATTTGGGATTTTTGTTTTTTAACATGTCAATCCCATAAAATCTAAACAAGTTTTCTACTATTACAATTATGACTAAACAATACTATTTACTAATTCAATTAAACACAAAGCAATTTTGGTAGTAGGAGCATGCATTATGCTCTGAACAATCCCCACATCATATTTATTAATATTAAATGTTTTTAAAAATGTTTCCCTTTCCCTTCGGTTCCTATCACATTCCATCAATAGGTGCTGCACATCTTCAACTTTTCCACAGACAATGCAATTTGGTGAATTTTCTTTTTTCATTAAATATGCAAACTTTCTTGATGGATAGTGACCAGATCTGATTCTTAAAATTAACTTAATTTTATTTCTATTTAATTTACTTTCTAAAAACCAAGGTATCAGAAGAGGCTCACATTGAATTGTCTTATACCAAATACCTTTTGTTTTTGAACGCTCATCAAAATATTCTTTCCATTGGAATTGGCATATTTTTTTGAATTTAGGTAATACTTCCGAATAGCATGGATTAATATCATGTTGCTTACCACATGAAATTGCTGATTTTGCCAGTTTATCAGCCTCTTCGTTACCCTTTATACCAATATGAGCTGGAACCCATTGCAATTTAACTACATTATCGCGCAAGTAATATGCATGAATCTGGGCCAGTATAATATAGGCTATCGAAACACCTCTGTATCCAGAGGCGCATCGAGCCAAGTGTTGTATAGCACTTTTACTGTCCGAATAAATTACAATTTCCTGACAATTTAAACTAGCAGCGTATTTCAGCGCTTCGGAAATTGCAATGAGTTCAAGCGTCATTATACACACATTATTTTTAATTTTAAAACATTCAGACACACGTCCGGTTGGATCAAAAAATGCTGCTCCCTGCAAATCACCACTCTTTGCGCCATCCGTAAATAATATACGCCACCCATGGTATTTTTTATTAAGTTCCTCCAGTACATTGAATTTAAGTGCATTACTTTCATATAATTGTTTGGAACTTCTAACGGAATTTAATGTACTAAGAGCTATATTTTTTATATCGATACATGAAAGCCAAATATTTAAACTAAACAAACCAATAACACGAGATTGATGGACTTTTATATTCTTCGTTTTATTAAAGGATTCTACTAGAAGTGGTATTTTCTTTTTTTGCCAGTATTGTGTACCACAAAGAGAGCTAATTTGCTGCAATAAGTCAATCATAATATTGTCCGATAATGAAGCAGTTTTCAAAACATATTTGTATGCTAAGTATGCTCTTCTTAGTTGCAATGGGGGGACACTGAGTTCACTTTCCATTACATGTATTGGAGAACTTTTGATAAAACCACCTATTAATCTCAATGCCTGATTTTGTATTTTATCTAATTTTGATAAATGAACTTTCGTACTACTGTCAAACAAAAAACAACCGTAATCTAGTCTACTACGTATTATAGAGATATAAAGTCGTCGAATATGTTTAGGGTGTACACCCCAAGCTGATCCTGCCAAAACCATAAGCAAATTCAAAAATTTCGTACACTTTTCCATAACCTCATTAATATGTTTACGCCAAAGGAGACTCCTGTCCAACCATAAGCCCAAATATTTAACACTATCTGCTGAAGCTACTGAGCAGCCGTTAATAGTCAATTTAGGAAGAATTCTTCTATGACCTCGACTAAAAAGGCAAAATTTAGTTTTAACAACCGACAGCTGTAAACCTAAGTTGCTTAATGAGTCTATTATAGAATTTAAAGTTGATTGAATGCGTAGTTCGCAAATTTGTATGTCTTTGTCTGCAATATATATAACAAAGTCATCAGCATATTGTGAAATTTGCACTATATGGTCTAATGATTTACAAATTTTGTGAGTCGCTATATTGAAAAGAAAAGGTGAAAGAGGATCGCCCTGTGCCAAACCTTTGTTCGTGTATCTTGTGATTGTATTATCTCCGTTTTCAGATTTAATCTGTAGATGTCTCTCTTTCAAAAATGACCATAAATATTTACAGTACTTGCTGCCTACTTTTAGCTCATCTAGGATATTCAGTACACTCTCGATATTTACGTTATTGTAGGCATTTTCAATGTCTAAGAAACAGGCTAATGTTGGTTTATTATGAGAAAATCCTATTTGAATATAAGTCACTAAACGAGACAAGCTATCTAAACATGACCGGGACTTCCTAAAGCCTACCATGCACTGTGAAAATGTATTTTTTCTCTCGGCGAACCACTCTAAACGCCTCAACAACATTGTGTGGAAGATTTTACACAAGCATGTCATCAAAGATATTGGCCTAAATTTAGAGTTAGCAGAGGGCAAATCTCCATTTTTAGGCACAGGTAGGATTAGCACATTCCGCCATTGCCGTGGAAGATTCCCTGAGTGGAATATAAGATTGTATAACCGTAACAAGAATCTTTTACCTTCTATCGGGATATTATAAATCATACTATATGTAATGCTATCGTCCCCTGGTGCAGTATCTTTTTTTTTTAGACAACTTTCAAGTTCTTGCATTGTGAAATCTATTTCTAGCGTATTATTAATGGATGTAAAATTGGGATCTTTATTAGTAACCGAATCAGGGGTAAGAGAAAGCAATAATTCTTCTTTCTTTTCTATCGATATATAAGACTTAACTCCGCGAGTACCCTTCACCCATCGCATACGGTGCCACATTTCTGATGCAGAGACTTCTTCATCTATTGAGCTACAAAAGCTATGCCACTGGGTAGCCTTAGCTTGCTTTATAAGTTTATTAGTTTCTTGGATTTTTATTTCTAAATAAGCTAAATTATTAGGTGTTGGGTTACGGCGGAACTTACTAAGTGCTAGTCTTCTTTGAGCCACTGCAAGGGATAGCGATGGTTTCCAATAATTTTTAGGTTTAAATTTGGATACTGGGTCAGTACATATCTTAATTACAGGAATGCTTATATCTGCAGCTTTATTAAGTTGATTAAGTAGAAAGTTATACATTTCTTGAATAGAAAATTCATTATAACTAACGGATGCAAGCACTTCGTCACCAAATGATTCATCAAGGCTTTTGGTATACATTTTCCAATCAATTTTTTTATAATTGCGTTTTTGAAAACCATCGTTAAATTTTGGGATATTAATAGATGTTTTAATCATAAGGTGGTCACTGCCTAAATTTTCATTAAATACCTGCCAATCAAAGTTTAAGGCAATGTCACTAGACACGAAGGATATATCTGGGGACGTCTGTTGAAGGACACTATTGACTAGTTTAATTCTAGTAGCTATCTTTGTATTAAGAGCTATAAAACTATTCTCTAAAGCCGCATCAGCTAGCTGTACTCCTCTTATATCTGACCTTTGAGACCAATTACTATGGTGACCATTAAAGTCTCCCCCTATATAGGACTTGTTTGGAAACAGTGAGAATAGTTCATTCCAATCTGATAACTGTGTACGAACAGATGACGGACAATAAATAGACACAATATTTTGCAATTGATGACAGTTGTACAACCTTATACTTATAGCTTCTATCCCCGGATTTTGTAAGTTAATTATGTTTACCTGACATCGTAGAGACCGATGAACGATTATTGCCACTCCTCCGTAGGAGTCGTGTCTATCTTTCCTGTAGATATTATAGCCATTTATATTTACCTTATCTTTCACATCTAACCAAGTTTCAGATAGTACAGCAATATGTATTTTTTCTTTAATCAAAAATTCTCCAAAACATGTTAATTTTGGTTTTAAACTTTGCGCATTCCATTGAATAATATTGACAACAGTATGTTTAAGGGACTTTTCCATGTAAAAAGTCTATAAGCGTTCCTAACAACTTTTGGCCTGATAGTATGTTAATTAAACAACACTTAATTTCTTCAAATAACACCATAATGACACCACTAACTTTATCTTCAAAAGTGTCTTTTGACACCCACGTAGCATGAATTTTTAATAATATTTTTTTTAGATCGAATCTTCTTTGTCGTTTGTTTCCCTCTTCAATTATATTTTTCTCTTCTTCTACTTCCAGCTCCTCGTATTCCATGTTATTATCTTGTTTATTTTCATAATGTTTTTCTTTTGTATATTTTCTGTTTCTTTGTTTCTTTGTTTTCGAAACTTTAATTTCTTCTTCCGTATTTAACTCCGGGCTTAGCTCCCTACCGGTCTGATTAGTTGTTAATACTTGGCTGTAAGAGCGTCCTTTAGCATCATTACATGCTTGGGTATCTCTTCTTTCTATATCTTGACTGTTATAGATTTTCTTATTTTCAGTCAAATTTATTTTCTTAATTACTTGCTTTTTTACATCATTCACCATCTGAAGTGCTTGTCTATAAGGAATGTTCTCCCTGCTCATTAATTCACGTACTTCTTTTTCTTTACGGTACATCGGGCAGGTTTTATCCAAAACGAAATGTAGTCCTTTACAATTAAGACACCTGAATGTTTTTATCTCGCAATTAATATGATCTTTACTCCCACATTTTGGACATAACATTTTCTTTTTCGGGCAGAATTTTATATTATGTCCGAATTCCCAGCATCCTGAACATTGCGTGACAGGAAAAACGTACCTATCTACATTAAAATAACATTCGTAAGCAGTAACATACTGAGGCAGTTCAGTACCTTGAAAACATATTCGCATAGTTTCGCTATCGACCCATTTGCCCTCTAGATCAAGTCTTTTGAGTCTTCTTATTGCCAAAATGTTAACTTCACTTTTTAGAACATCTAAAATATCTTTTTCACTAAACTCCAGATCTACACCCCTAATTAGACCGTAGCACATTGAAGAATCGAAGGTTTTTTGACATTTGTATTCCAGTTCTCGAAATTTTTGGCAATTTATCAGTTTGTCAGCGTCACTATCACTATCAAATCGTATCAGGACTTTAAAGGGCGATTTGTACTTGATTCTAGTTATGTTATATATGTTTTCATTACGAAGAAGTTTAGCCATAGCCATTTGTTTAGGCAATTCTTTCGAAGATGTGATACATACTTCATATATATTCCCAATTTCCTCCGATATTGTCCCGTGTGTCGTCTGCGATTGTTCTATGGAATCACTTCTTAAATATCGCTTCGCCTTTCTTCTAACAATCGTCACAAAACCATCTTCACTAAAAGCATCATCTTCTTCACGTTCCTTTCGCTTCTCCAATCTTTTTTCTGAGCCACAATCCATATGGGAATTTTCTAATTCCGAAACATCATAACTTTTTCCTTCCATTAAGATTTCATTTAACTCCTGTTCACACTCGCGTATGATATCAGAGTCGTTTTCATCATTCCCATTTATAGATTTATCATCATCAATTACATCGGATTCCATATTTTTAATGTAGGTAGATTAAGAAAACTATTATATTAATTATACGTTCTCCGATACCTGCGCCGCGTACGCACCACACGAATGCTCGCGCAAGAGTGTACATAATACATATTGTTTAAAAATGTTAAAATATCGTTCCTTTGAATTTTTATGGTAGGATTTATGACGAACGAAATGTTAAGTTTCTTTTACTGGGCAGATTTTGGTGTGAATGAAAATACGAAATTGAATCTGAAAATTAGGAATTTCATTTTATGGTAGATCCCCGGGTTTACTAGATTGCTGGTTAAAGCTGGCGTAGAATGATGGTGATATCAGCCGTTAATTGAATATATAAGAATAATTGAAGCATTCTTATGGTAATATAAAATAATAATTAATACATACCCCATAAAACTAATATCTATCTATCTATCCTATTTAAGAGCTGCGCTCTTGTCGGTGGAGCTCTTGCCACTCACTACGATTTTCAGCGAGTCTCTTCACCTCTTGATAATATTTCTTAATTTTATAAATGGTGCAACGAAGTGTAAAATAAATAAATAATAAATTTATAGTCGTTGATTGTCTGATTTTTTAATTATGCAATAATGTATGATTGACGCTGTTTTCCACTTTGGGTTTTCTGGAAGAGAAATGTTTTAGTTAACCTTGCCTTTGTACATTTATTTACTTTTGTCATATTTTAATGCATTTTCAGTGTGTACAATAAAGTATAAATAAATAAAATGTATTTATAAATTATTCGAAATGAAAGAAAATATTTAGTGACATATATAGATTTTAAATTAAATTAAATTAAATTCTAATTACAAAAAAGGTTCTTACCCAAATGAATAAATAAATTTTTTTTATACAACTTAGAATTGCAAACAAGCTGACGGCCCACCTGATGGAAAGTGGTAACCGTCGCCTATAGACATGAGCAGTACCATGGACATAACAGAGTATACTGTTTCGCCCATGATACCTCAGGTATTATTCCTCTGTACCCTGTAAATTCAGGCCATATCCCACCCTTCAAACCGAAAAACAGCCATGCAAACACAACTGTTTTACGGTTGAAACACGAATAGGACAGAGGTACCCAAGTAAACGACTTTTGTACAAAGTTTCCCTCTGGTTAAAAGTCATATATGTTATTGTGGATATTTATTTATAATAAAATAACTAATCATTTTATAATGCTGTTTTTTTATTCACTTATTTTGCACAGACAATATCTATATATTATTTTTATTACCATAGATTGAGAGTAGGCAAAAGCATAAACTTATACATTCTTAACAATATATTATATAAACATCAAAATAAATTTAATTAAATTCTAGTCACTAAGAAGGCTCTTTGACTCAAATGAATAAATACATTTCGAAATATCTAATCAAAATTAATGTGTGTACATTTTCAGTATGAATTCCCATCGTTGAATCGATCGGCATGTCAAGTCAACGGGTCCTTTTAAGTTTTTCCAAAGAAATCGAACCGATCTGAATGCTAACGAACTCAAATTGCTCGACACAAGTTGACGCGAAATCTAAATGTGACCTGTCGGCCCAAATAAAGAGAGTCGATTGCATTTTACATTAATTTCGATTCCAAAATAAGGTTTTTCGATTTAAGATAAAAAAAAAAACAAGTTTCGTTTGTATAGAAACAGAATACAAGTAATAATTAAGGATCGAATAGAAATAATCTTTATTGAAATAGACTTGTTGTAAACAAGCTCTTTAAAATTGTCAATTGTTTATATTTCTATTGCTGGGTTCGAAATGTTGTTACCTGCTACCCGTAAGAAACTTAACAGTTTTTTTTTCAAATTATTATGTGTAAGATAATTTTACATTTGTATGGATGTTATTACTATAATTGGCATTGAGTTCTATTTATATGCATTATTCAAGGGTAAATAAACAAGTAAACATAGGCAGACCAGTCTCCAGTTTTTTTGTTTTAATAAATTTGCTACTGTAATCTTTTAGAGGGAGCAATAAAGAGCTTCTATTTATAAAGTCAAAAAACACTTGTTACACACACACACACACACACATATATAAAAACACTCACACACTTATATAATGTTAGTTTTGTGAACGTTTACTGCTTAGTAAGTAATATATTATAAATTATAAATTCGTAATTGGCTGTGACTAGTAAAAGTAACACTAAAATGTTGATTTTAAGGGCTGTGGATTTTGTAATAACAAATAAATAAATTCAAGCCATTTGTTTAGATGCTAGACTTCTGAGACGTATAGTATTGCATGGTACATTGTTGCCGTGAAGCTTGCAAGTTATGTAAATAATAACAATATATCCAGAAAGTATTAAAAAAAAATAACTGTCAGACCATATTACATTGATACTATCACAACACACATAGACACGTTTTATTTAGTTCAAGGTCTAAAATGGTTACTTTCAATGTATTGGACAATTTGGAATGATAAAGTGATTCATATTGTAACTGCCTGCATTGAATAAGTCCTCGTGGTATTCGAAATTCAATTATTAAAACAATTGTTATTGATAGCTTACACCTAAGAACAAGGAATTATATAGATGGAATTATAAAATAAAAACTGTAAATCATATAGTTGTCTCCTTTCTTCTTATGCAAATATAATTAGTAAAAAGAGGACGAAAGATACACTATCAGTTATTATTTTTCTCAATTCAGGCTAGATAGCAGGCTAGTGTGTAGAAAATGTTTGATATGTCAATTATTTGTCAATGACAAATTCACATTACTAGATTATATATTCGACACAGTTTATGTAGAAAGTATGCAAGCAGGTTGTATCTGAATTTGGTAGGGTTATACGGCCATATAACATTTTCCATACACTAGTCTGCTATGAATTGACAATTTTATCACTCCTTCTATGTAATTCCTTGTTCTTAGGCTTACACCTAACCTAATTCTTTTCACCTTATTAATGTAATTAATAAATATATTTCAGTTGTGTTTCACTATTTGATCGAGTTATAAAGGAAGGAGATTCTCTATTAAATTTTTTGTGGATAACTGTTTACGCTGCCAATTCGAAACCATTGAAATAAGAATAATTAAAAACGATTAAATCTATAACAATCTGATAATAAGGCGGTGTGTTAAACAGCTATACGTTACTAAGTTCGTGAATAAATGCAGGTGGCTTATAAAAGTTCTTTGTGGCAGTCTACAGAGCAGGTCTATGTTTAGCAGTGGATGATTAAATTAAAAAAAAATATATGTTTAATGAGTTATCACGACGAACATAATTCTTTTTAATAATAGAATGGAAAATATTTATTGCCAGAAAAAGACATAGTTACAACAGAAAGTACAGAAATATTACATATAAGAAGTGTATATAACTCATATTAGGCAAAAGGAACTGGCTCAGCTGATGCTGTGAGTGTCCCAGTGCAATGTATACAGTTGCGCAGCGTTGATTTCCAGCCAGTCCTTCTCTTAGTGAAATAAAACAAAAGTACAATAAATAAAACAAAAATAAAACAAACTGGTACAATATAATTTAATTTGCATAATTTAATTTTTATTGTGTTTTACTTTATATTTACTTTCCTATTGTTGCTATGTTTCACTGATTTTTTTTACTAAAATGTACTGTCGCTAGTCGAGTAAATCAAGTAGTGGGCACTCCATGATTTCTGATTTTTTCATAAACAATAATGAGTACGTTGCTATTGTGGTGATCGAAATACACGTCATACCCATCTTTCGCCTGAGCATACTAGAATTAAATGTGACGAGGGGTGAGCATATGTCACTGGTTGCTTTAGTTTATCACTGTTTTCTATCACCAGAGAGTTCGAAATTTAAATATTTATAAAAAAATAAATAATCTCAAAAGACGATGAAACTGAAAAGTGTCCATTTTAGTGCTCCTAGTCGGGGTGTGACTGCGTTATCTAACATCTGTAGGTACGTACTGGTACGCACCGTTGCACTGTCGGTGAAACAATGTTCAGCCTTGCCAGCCTCCGCTCCTTTAGATTTGTATCTCTAGATATCCACTGCACCTCGTTTCACCCACGACAATTGTTAGTACAAGAATTTATTACACCCCTGCTTGGATTTGTACACGCGAGAAAGAAATATTCAAAAATAGAACTCGGCTGATTAATGTTCTATTGAGTTGAATTGTTTTCATTAAAATAAACTTTACTTTTGCATTTATTAAAATTATGTCATCATTGGTTAAAGATCTTCGTTACTTCTTGACAAATATTTCTAGATTGTAAATGATTTTATTGATGTGAGATCATAGGTTGTGTTTATTATTGTTGTTGTAGTCTTTATAATGTAATTATTTTCGATTATAAATTATTTAATAATAACTATGACAGTATGTACGAATTTGTTTATTGAGAATTTATTTATTTATTGTAAAATTAATTAGCAACTTTTAAAAATAAAATAATAATTTAATAATTGATTATCAAATGAGAACTTTGTATCACATTTTCAAAGCAAATAAAGTATTCTATTCTATTTAATAAGCTTTGAGGTATTATCTTTTTAATGGATGCTAATGGAATGGCAGCCTCGCCTGCGCTAACAGTGTACACTAGTTGGGCACCAGTGAGGGATGATAGGTGAGAATAAAAAGGCAGGCCAGTTAGCTCACCTTGATAAATACACTTGGAATTCAGCCCGATGGTTTTCACGGGACTATGCGGAGGTTCACCTGATAGGGTATATTGCTAGCAATAGGACTAGTAGTCCGCATTACTAACAATCCCTCCCCCCAGCTGAGGTATTTTGGATGTGGCATACTAATAGTTATTACCAGTTTTAATTTTTATGCTTGTTTTGGATGCATTACAAGTAAAAGTGGGCTAACAGGACAATAAACGATGTTTGCACAGATGGCACTTCGATGTTTCGTTTATGGTTGCCAGTTTAGAGGTCTGTATGGATAGATTCTTTTGCCTTTTGTTTAAAAAAAAAAACACGATTTCTTTACGAATTCTAATTTCTCTAATTTTTTTTTGTAATTGATAGGGTTTGTAATTAAAGTTTGTCACGATTGAAATAGTTTTTTTTTTTTTATAAACGGCTGCACTAAATAAAGAATGGTAACACATGAGGGATGGGTATCATATACAGATGGGCAAAGCACCGGGTTTAAACCCGGTGCTTTGGTAAAAACCCAATAAACACCCATAAACTCCCATAATCACCCAAAAAAATAGGTTTTTACGTATTTTTTTGAAAATATGTAAGTAATACCAATAAATTATTTTTATAAATTGTATTGATCAATTCTACAATATTAAATAAAACGTTAACTAATAATATTTCAGGAAATTTTAAAAATCTATATATAATAAAATGAAAGTAATTAATTTTCAGTGTTTTCATGTTGCAGTTGATCAACATGTTGGCCTTTTGCTTCCCGTAGATACTTTAAAATTTCTTCATAACACCTCGTTCGCACACATGGCCGTATATATTTAAATTCTTGAGCCACTAACAGTCCGAAATACTCATTTCTTTTATCCTCTTCTCCATAAATTAAGCATTTAGAACAGTTTGTTTCTTCTTTCAGTAAATTTTCTTTTACTTTATCCTCGTTTTTTTTCTTTGTTGCGACGACGCTGGGTAAATCATCTGGACACTGGGTCTCACTATCGCCAAATATATTTGGAGATCGGCTTCGGCTACGGCTTGGCAGACATTTTTTTCTTTCTACAATTTTAAATTAAATTTATTAGAATAAATGCTTCGAACACACGCGATCTAAGTACCTTTTGTGTTTATTATACCTTACCTACCTAGGTATAAAAAGAGTACTTACGTAGATTTTCTTTTATTAACTGTTTTATACGAAGATCTTGATCTCTCAAATTAGCATCCATTTTACTTCCAGTGATTATCAACTAAATTAATAATCCACAAAGTATTAAATAACGTTTTTATGAAATATTTAGCACAAAAACAATACCCTTTAAATATCGATCGTCAGTAACTGTGGCTGACTTACCTATATTCTAGCAAGCAGGACTGCCAGATGTGAAGGGGAAATCCCCAATAAATTGTTGCATGTGACTGATGATGTGAGCATGTTCGTTTCATAATAAAAATGTTGCCAGGTAACCAAAAAGTCGTATGTTTTTGTGCGAATTACGATCATAATCTTTACGATCGTACATTAAAAAATAGACAAATAATAGTATGAGTACGATTTAAATCGTATATCTGTCAACCCTGCTAGCAAGACAGCGACAAAATCACGTTGCATAACAATGTAGCCCAAGCTTATATCTTATGAAATATACGGAAGAGATACGGACTTAGAAAAAACAGAAATGTTGTTCTTTGTGGAAGTCATTGATGAAATTCTATGTATTTTAGCCCGCAAACTTTCTTCAAACAAAAACAGCGCCATCTAGTATCGAGTTCTGTAATTATCTCTTTGTTTATGGATTTGAAGTAAGACCGCCACGCATGCAATACATTATGACTGGGGATTCCCCTATTCGTCGACGCTGAATATGAGGCGACGACAATCACTGTCAAACGTGTTCACTATTACTCTGACTCTGGTAACGTGACTTCCTGGTAACGTGTTAGGTAGGAAAAGCAGTAAAAAAGTGCATATTAAGGTAGCAGATTTGAAATAATATTTATACTTAACAAGAAATAATTAAAGGTAAGTGGATTTTTGAATGATACAATTATATCATGATCACTTAACAATTTTAACTTAAAATTAGATGTATTATTACAAGCTTTTATTTAGCTTGCGTTATGTAAATAAAAGTATGTAGGTATGTTCGTATGTTGATGCAATTATCCTCAATCCTCAACCGACTGGGATAAAATTTTCCATACACGTTTATTTTGGATGATAGTGCATAGTTAGCTGAGAGTCGTCATTGGATAATAATGGTGGATAGCCTAAGATGTGTACTAGATATTTATTTTTAACATAATATGCGTAAGTACCTAATCGAATTAAAGAAGTTGCTGAGAAAAATACAGAACAATACGATAATAAACTAGCGTCTGCGTTTAATCCTCCGAGGAGATGTAATTTTACAAAGGTTTTTTGTATTTATTTTATTATTTTTTTAATAAATTTATTGTAAATAACAAGAAATAATCATTGTAAAAAAATAGGCACTCTATTGTTGAATTTTCGTCAGACCAACTAATCATCGTTCATTTTTTTAGGTTCAATGGGGAGACCTAAAGATTTACGCATATGGGAGCACTACCGTACTTTACCAAACAAGTCTGTTTCTTGCAAGCTTTGTAATAAGGTCTACAAATTCAGTAATGCTGCCAAAATGCTTCAACATCTTATCACTTGTCCAAAATCTCCAGAAACATTAAAAGACTCTATGAAACTTATAAAAGATAGCTCGTCCAAAACCAAAATGTCTGGACTGTCAGAGATAGAGACAAATGATTCTTTTATAAGCCCCTCGTCGTCTGCTAACACTACAATAAATGCTGAGTTTCAAGACACCGATGATCATATAAAAACAGAATTAGCGAGAGCTATATTTGTAACAGGGACGCCATTATCGATGGTGCAACATCCTTTATGGATACAATTTTTCGAAAAATTGCAACCAAAATTTAAAATACCTTCACGTAAAGCTTTAGCGACAAAATACTTAGATAAAATATATAGAGAAATGCGTTTTGAGTTAAATGAGGAACTAAATGCTTGTAGTTACTTACACCTTCAGTGCGATGGCTGGTCTAATTTAAGAAATGAAGGAATAATAAACTTTCTTATATCAAAACCTCAACCTGCATACGTTAAAAGTTTGAATACAGAAAGTAATCCTCACACTAGTGAATACCTTAGCCAAGAAGTTGAAAAAGTAATGAAAGTGTATGGAGCAAATAAGTTTCTTGTACTTATTATTCTGCATATCAATGATATGTTACAGATAAGTAATATTCATTGCTATGCAGACGACAGTACAGGAGATACATTATATACCGGTCATGCAAAGATCTCGCGGGCACATACCGATGAGTGCCGGAATAGACTTGTGTCTGAAATCGAAACTTCACTCCATCAAGTTTCGATCTGGGGTGAACAAAATCTTGTCCAATTTAACCCCAAAAAGACACAAGTCTGCGCGTTTACCGCAAAAAAGACGCCGTTTGTCGTATCTCCTCACTTTCAGGGCACTTCCCTTGATAAAAAGTCGAGTCTAGGAATTCTGGGCGTTGATATATCTTGCGACGTCCAGTTTTGCGGTCATCTGGAGGAGAAGGCTAAGATAGCTTCCAAAAAGTTAGGAGTACTCAATAGGGTGAGACGATATTTCATGCCAGAACACCGCCTGAAATTATATAAAGCCCAAGTCAGGCCGCATATGGAATACTGTTCTCACCTGTGGGCAGGAGCGCCACAGTACCAACTCCTTCCGTTAGACCGCATTCAAAGTCGGGCGGCTCGAATTATCGATAGTCAACGCCTTACTGTCCGACTCGACCCACTGAAACTGCGCAGAGATGTTGCATCTCTGTGCATCTTCTACCGAATTTATCATGGGGAGTGTTCTGAGGAATTGTTCGGATTGATACCTGCTGCTGATTTTCACCACCGTACAACCCGCCACAAACTAAAGTTTCATCCCAATCATCTGGACGAGTGGCGGTCTTCCACCGTGCGTTTTTCAAGGCACTTTCTTCCACGCACAACCATTCTTTGGAATCAACTTCCAGCAGCAGTATTTCCGAACCGATACGACAACATAACCTTCAAGAAAAGAGTATATTCCTTTTTAAAAGGCCGGCAGCACACCTGCAATGCCGCTGGTGTTGTGGGTGATCATGGGCGGCGGTAGTCACTTACCATCAGGTGAGCCGCATGCTCGTTTGCCCCCTGTGTTGTAAAAAAAAAAAAAAAAAAATTATTGGCGATAACGCTAGAAATATACAAAAGGCATTCGAATTAACAAAACTCAAATATCCACATGTTGTTCCTCTCGGTTGCTGTGCACATATCCTTAACTTGTTGTGCCAAGATATTGTAAAGATACAAGAAGTAACTGTGTTTATTATGCAAGCCATAAATATAATAAAAACTGTTAAAAGGAGTCAACGATTAAGTTCCTTGTTGATAAAATCAAGGCAGGGTGAAGATTCTACACAAACACTAAAATTGCTTTGTGCTACAAGATGGGGAAGTCATGTTACTTCGTTAAAAAGTTTGAAAGCAAATAAGATAGCTTTGCAAATATTAACAGTTAGAGAAGATGTGGTAATTTCAAGAGATATTAAAGATTTAATTCTAAGTGATGATTTCTGGACGAAGACAGGGGAATGTATAAGTATTTTGGAACCAGTCACTGAAAGCATATTTTACTTAGAGAGCGACCAGAATCGTTTGCATCGCACATACATTACATTTAGAGATGTACAAGCTAAGATACGTTTTGCATTAAATGAGATTTCGACATTGAGCGAAGAAAGCAAACAGCAGATTCTAACATCAGTATCTTCAAGATGCAATATGGCAATGAGGCCAATACATTTTGCAGCATATATTCTAGACCCCAGGACTCTAGGAGTCGAACTTACTCAAGAGGAAGAACTTAAGGGTATGGAGTTTATCTACAATTTAAGCCAACACTTAAGTTTGTCAAATGTAATGGCAGATTTGGCGTGTTATAAAGCTAAAGAAAACTTTTGGGCCAGAGGATTTGTATGGAGCTCATTAGATAGCATTGAGCCCCTAATATGGTGGAAAGGTATTTGTGGTTCCACTGAGTTAAGCAAAGTAGCGATTCGTATTCTATCAGCTCCCTGTACTTCGGCAGCCACTGAGCGTTCCTTTAGTATCCAAGGCTACATACATAATAACAAAAGAAATCGACTTACAACTGAAAGAACTGAAAAAATTTCATTCATTTTTTATAACTGGAATCTTAAACATAAAGCTGAATGCGAGGACATTCAGTTTAATGAAGAAAATACCTTAGAAGCTTTCATTGAGCAAGTAAATGAACATAACAGTTTAGACGAAATAGAGCCTATCGAACCTATACAATTCATCGCTTGTAATAACTCTGAATCTGACAGTGATTGACTGTAGTTTTACATTTTACTTTCATCTCTTTCTTAATAAACTCAAAATCAAATTAAAAGTTTTTTATTCTGTAGGCTGCATAATAATATTGTCTATGTCCAGTATAGTGGACGTCTTGCGGCTGAGATGACGATGATGAAGTACAAAATCATAAACACCCAAAAATTTGGGTGTTTATGGGGTTTAAACCAAATAAACCCAAAACACCCGGTTTTTACCCACCAGACTTTAAACCCACCCAGGTGGATTGCCCATCTCTAGTATCATAGTACAGTTTATGACATTCATGATTCTGTTTAAATTTAAAGATGACGGTTACTAATTTTTAATAGGTAGACTTGTTTATTTTTTGAATTCTATAAAAAAATAATATAAATAAGAACTGTAAATAGATAGATAGATAGATACTCTTTATTGTTTCCTCCAAAAGTTTACAATAGTAAACTTATTATAAATATAAATAATTACAAGAAATAATCATTAATAATAGAAATAGAAATAACTATTAGAGCCTGCAGATGGCGACCCTATATTCGGATATTCGTCTAACACTTGTGTAAATGCATCAAGTGGAGTAGGTTGATACGTGACACATTGCCAGTCTATGCAATGTATAAGTATATAAATTTTATAGTACTGGTACAGAATGCCGAATAGTAGCCTACAGTGGGAATGGCAAACATGCTGACAGCCTATCTAAAGGATGTAGGCTGATGAAGCAGATGATGCAGTGTAGTAATAATAATAATAATAATTCTTTATTATCAGGTACTTAGCCCATAGAGGTACAATTGTATTACAACGTGCACGGATAACATATAAAAAAATATAAAAATATAACAATCAAAATATACAAAAAGAAAAACATAAAAATTAAAATATGTAGAAAATTTATAATTTATAAAAAGTAAAAGTAAATAATATAGCAAGAAGCAAGAGAACATTATTTAATGTTCCTGTCTTGGTGCACGGACAACCAATACTTTTGAAT